CGCATTTGGTTTGCTGGTTACAAGCTGTTTTAAATAATTGTACACACTAAAAATTGTGTTTTTAGTTTGAATTGTAATGTCTTGGCACCTTTTGGCCATTTCTAATTAACACTAATCAAGTAATAATATTACACAGACTGAATAATATTAAACTGCACAAAATACTATCAGAATAATCACAATGTTGTTTACAACTAAAATGTAAACAAAGTGACAACTGTTGTAAAATTATAAACAGTATGAATCAGCTGTAGGCTGTTGTGGTGGCAGGGGCCAGGGAGAAAGCAGGGAAAAACAAATTTGTCCTTCAACCGCACATTAAATTCAGACAGAGTATAGTAGGCCTACCTAGTTTAAATCTTTGATTGAAATAATAAAACCCCTTTTAGCCTAAATGTAGGCTAATTTAAACTTAGGCATTTTTAGAATGAGTTTATCAAGTTACATAAATGTATAATTATTAACTTTTAACCTACTTTTAAGGACTTTTTACACGTGTTGCATTCTGCAACAGAGTCCTTTTTGACAAAAAAATCCCAAATTAAACTCCTTTACTACTTATTTTTTAATTCTTGTGATGATGTTGAAAACACATTTAGGCCTAAATCGGCTTCTTCATCTGAATCCATCTTGTGTCATTCAACCAAACTTAAATGAAGCCTAGGCCTACAACTTTTAGGCAATATCCAACTGTATAAAAGCAACTGTTGTCAAAATATACAAAAATTGTTACTAAGTTTAGCTGAAATACTTAACGCAGACGCTAACCAAACTGTCTCTAAACTCCAACCTCAAAACTTCTTGTCTTGTAACACAGCTTGCGCTAATGCAATAGAAAAAAGAATGAACTAACTAGAGAAGCAGAAGAATATAAGCAGACTTCTATAGCAAGTGCGAATTACGTTTTACTCGGGATCACGGCAAATCTATCTAGCAGACAACATTTGTATATATCATATTTCAAGTTAACAAAGGTGACGGTGCACGTTTTGGTACCATGTATAAGAGAACTCAGTATAATTTAATCCGGTATCTTATTCGCCATCACTTTTTCAGTTTTACTTCACTCGAAATAGACACATCAATGTCGTATGCTAGATTTATGTAGGTCTACCGTGATCCCAGAACAAAACGTAATTTGAACCCGATCACCATCGCCATGAACAATGAAAGCGGATGAATGCTAACGTAGTGTTTTGCAGCACATAATGAGTTTAATAATGTTGAAAAATAATGAAATAAAATATCTAAGTGAGTTTTAATTAAATATTGTATTGCATTTTTATTTAATCTGAAGCAGCTTTTAACAGTTTCTATTTATTTTCAAACCAAGTTAGAACAGAACTATTTTACCGACCTTGTTTATTTGGCTAATGGTGGAGGACATTATTTCATCGGAAACTCATGACACGATTACACAATAGTTAAAAATGAAACGTTGTCACTCGATAGTCGATAAAAACTGATTACTATTCGTATTTTAGCCCGATGGTAATTTATTATTTATTACTTGAAACACTTTTGGCCAACTTGATTTGTTTTATGTTTTCCAAAGCAACTAATTATGTGACCATATGCGAAGTATTCGAAAGGGTCCGAACTATTCGACCACCGTCAAACTATTCAAAAAATCGAATACTTGCAGATAGAACGAATCAAATCGAATAGTAGTTTTACTATTCGATTTGATTCGAAAATTTGAATATTCGCACGCCCCTAGTATAAAGGATACATTATCACCGTGATCAGGGAAAAATCATTATCGTATCCCAATGTCGTGTGGACATTATCGTTGTCTTCTGCGATCAAGGCAAAATTCTGATCATATCCCATGGCCGTGTGGATACTATTATCGTCTCCTGCGGTCATTGAAACATCGTCGTCATTTGCGATCGTGGTAAAAGCTGTCAATTTTCAAATGTGCGATCTTCCCAGACAAGATGGGTGTCGGTATTGACATGACATTGACTTTAGACGATCGATTCTCGATACTGAAACCAATACCCTTAGTATAGGTGGTATCGAGAATGATACATACCTAGTTGCAAGTGTAGTGGTTAGCGTATCACACTTCCGTTTTCTGTTAAATTTCCTTTCTGATATGCAAACATACCAAATTTTGATACTTTAACAAAATGATTTTTCTTAATGATAGGAATACATTAGACAATAGACAATAGACAATTTCTTTATTACAATTTCGTCAAGAAATGTTACAGCGTCAAATTTTACAGATACAAAGTGAAATGGAAAAGCCTCTTCAGTGTTGTGTGTGGTCTTGCCATGCAAAGAACTCATTTAGGGTGTAGAAAGCTTTGTCAACCAGCCATCTCCGTAGCTTCCTCTTCATCAGCAACGGGCCTCCAATTTTCAAGTGGTCTGGTAATTTGTTAAGCATCTTCACTCCTGCATACAGTGGTTTCTTTTCAAACATTGCATAGTTTCCTGCATATCTGGTGTTGTATTAATGTATATCTCTTTGTTTAGGCGGGTCTTTGGTTACACAGTAAAAAACAGTTTCTAGGATGTAGATGGAAGTCACCGTCAGGATGTTCAAGTTTTTGAAGGCATCTCTACAGCTTTGTTCTTTACTTATGCCTGCTATTATTCTGATAGCCCTTTTTTGCATAACCAGGACCCGGTTAAGATTGTCCATAGTGGATCCACCCCAGACAGTGATACCATAGCGTATATGGCTTTTAAACAATGTATGGTATGCAGTCCTCTTTGCCTCAGGGGTACTAGTCTCTTTGATTCGTTTTATGGCAAAGCGAGCTGGCCCGAGTTTTTGGCAAAGACAAGCTACATGACGATCCCAGGATAAATTTTCATCAATTATGACACCTAGATGTTTAATTTCTTCAGCTGCTGTCAGGTTGGGCATTTCAGATACTGTAGACTTTTTATTTCCAAAAGTAATTTGCTTGGTCTTACTTTCATTGAGGACTAAGTAATTTTTCATACAGTAGTCCTGTGTCACATTGAAAGCTATATAGGTGTTTACTTCTAGTTGATCTATGTTTCTGTTTGCTGTAAGCAGCACAGTGTCATCTGCATACATGACCATCTTGCTGTACTCCTCAAGGTGTTCTGGGAAGTCATTAATAAACAGGCCAAACAGAACTGGCCCTAGGACAGAGCCCTGGGGAACTCTGTTAGTCGGTAGCAATTCAGATCTGACAGTATCTGTAACCCCTTTTGTTGTGTGTTTTATTTCTACCATTTGGCTTCGCCCTTTTAGATAACTTGCAAACCATTTCAGAGCTGTTCGCTGGATTCCTAAATTTTGAAGTTTAGTTAGAATAAGATCATGTCCCAAGGAATCAAAAGCCTTGCTTAAGTCAAGATACAGGCTGGGGATAGTGTTGCCATTTTCTATGTTCTCAATGATATATTCAACAAGGTCTATCAGAGCAGTTGTGATTGATTTTCCAGGAACAAACCCATGTTGGCTGTTTGTCAATGCTTGGTTTTGACTAAGATGCTCCTGGATTCTTACTTTTATAATCTTCTCTATGAGTTTGGAGACAGATGAGAGCAGCGAGATAGGTCTGTAGTTAGAGATGTTTTGTAGGTCCCCTTGTTTGTGTTTAGGAAAAACCAAGGCTGTTTTCAAGTTGGTTGGAAAAGTCCCCTCTGCCATCGACATGTTTAAAATCTTTATTAGCGGCATTATTAATTCATCTGCACATGTTTTAAGGATTTTTGAAAGATATTTCATCAATGCCTGATGATGTAGAGTTCTTTAATGATTGAATGGTCCTGCCTATCTCGTCAGGTGTTGTTGGACGGAAGGAAGAGAGAGTGTTTAATGTGGTAGCTGGAGGATTTTGAGCTATTGGTGGTGTGTTGTATCTGCTGTTTTGTTTTAATGTCTCCTCAGCTATGTTTACAAAATAATAATTAAAGCGGTTTGCTACTTCTTTAGGGTCAGTAAGTTTCTTTCCATTGTCATTTAGTTCTATTGTAGAATTGTTGTCAAGCTCTTTCCTCCCTTTCCTCTCACTATTGATGGTGTTCCATATGGCTTTGGCTTTGTTTTCTGCTTGTTCAATGTATGCAGCACTTGTTTCTTGCCTTGCCTTTTTTAATTTTTGGTCGTAAGATTTCTTCTTATCTGTAGCTATTTTCTTATCATCAGGATGACCAGTTAGGAGAAATTTTTCTTGTGCTATTAAAAACTCCTTTTTAAGTGTCATAGTTTCTTCGTCATACATCAGTCGTTTACCCCTTTTTTGTGTAGTCCGAAATCTTTTTTTTGGACATGCATTATTAATTGCAAGCTGGAGCGTTTGGTTGAAGTTAAAGTAGGTTTCTTCCACATTATTTGTTCTCAAAACAGGTTCCCACGTTACAGTGAAGAGCTCATTTTTTAAGATCAGCAGATTGTTGTGGTTAAGGTTCCGTCGTGATGTATATGTTGTTGCTGCTTTTGTTTTTGGAAGGTCCAGTGTGCAGTATTGTCCTGTGTGGTCTGATAGACCTGTGTGAGAGAGACCACAACTTTAATCATGGTGGTGTGAATATTTGAACACACCATGTCAATTGAGGATGCTGAGGTCTTTGAGATTCTTGTGGCTGGGAGCTCTAGTCTTCTTATGTTATACCCATCCAATAGCGAATTTAGTGTAACAGATTCTCTAGAAGCCTCATCTGTCTAGTGCATCTGACAGAACTTGTAGTGACATATCAAGGTCAACACAAGGTGGTCGATAGACTCCAAGGAGAAAAAGGCTCTTCTTCCTGTTTATGTGTATTTTTATTGCTGTTATTTCACATACCATTTCCAAGCTGTATCCTTCTATCTCTAGACTTTCGGTTTTGTTGGTTATATTGTTATGCTTGTAAATTATTAATTAGTTTATGTACCTTAGTTTACGAGCGGAAACAAGAACCATTTTAACAAAGAGAACAAGAAGTTTGAAAAGAACCATCCTTTACCACTAATATTTACCACCCGTGTATTTTAAATCTTAATTAAAGAATAAAATATTTTCTAGGTCGCTGTTCATTACATAGGAAAGTTGAAAGACAGTAACAAGGTGTTTGATAAACAAACCAAGGGAGAAGGATTCAAGTTCAAACTGGGGAAAGGTGAAGTAATCAAAGGATGGGACATTGGACTTCAAAATATGAAAGTTGGCGGCAAGAGAGTGATCCACTGCCCTCCTGAAGTTGCGTAAGTTACTTGAGAATGTTAGCAATCAATAAGTGCAACTGTGTGTAACGTCACAGAAAACATACTACTATAACCCAGAATGCCAACTGCATGGTAAAAACCATTAAGTGTTTTGAGAGAGCTTTGCCTGTCAATCCGTAGGCAGCGCCACCAGCGTTGCCATGCACTCAGTATAGCCTACGGATTGACAGGCAAAGCTCTCTCAAAACACTTAATGGTTTTTACCATGCGGTTGGCATTCTGGGTTATAGTAGTATGTTTTCTGTGGTAACGTGGGCTTAGACTCAAACACAAAAAAAATCATAAACACACTAAATATTTATTTATAATCAAATCACATTCTTAACCAAGTATGTCACTTCACATTGACAAAGGATCAACTCCATTTTACATTCAAAAACTCAACAATAACAACTTAACCCAAAACTAGTGTTGACTAGTGGTGTGCGATGCATCAAAATTTTGATTTGATTTAGCATGCATCGATTACGTCTCAATGCATCGGTTTTTTTCAATCCAAAAGATGTATTTAGTTCCAAATGAACGCTCAAAGCAATTTAATAATCATTTGAATATTATAATCAATATATTTAGCAGGGGCGGCTCCAGGAATAATTTTTTGGGTAGGCCTGACAAGGATCAAGAAAGAGTTTGATCGGGGGGACAAGAGGTTTGAAGGGCTTTCCCCGAAAAAAGGGAATTTTAAAATATAAATGCAAAATAATTAGTTTGAATGCTTTTCCTTTATTTACATATAATTAAATTTATTTATAATTTTTTAATATGCGCCAAAATTTTGGGGCCTACCTGGCCTGCCCTCTGGAGCCGCCCTTGATATTTAGTAAATTTGTTTAATTTAATTTTTTAAAAGGTATGATCTAATAACACAAGCTGTAAATAATCTTTAAAGAAAATCATGCTGTGCTGTATCATTTCGAATCACATGAATTCAAATCTAAATCCTTTAAATCGCATCAATGCATTGAATAAAAAAAAATCTGCATTGTACACCTTCCTTCCCATAACATTATTTAAGTATTGCAGATACATTAATGTAACTGCCACAAACGGTTCCCTCACTCTGCTTTGCCAGCCTTTCCTACTTCCTTCACAACTTCCTATGTCGTTGTCTTGTTTCCCCCCTTCCCATATTATTTTAGTATTTTAGATAAAATTATCTAACTGCCACAAATGTTCCCCACTCTCCAAACTTCTTGCCTTTACTACTTCCTTCTCCTTCACCACTTCCTATGTCGTGGACCTGTTTGCCATTTATGAGATGGATCCATGAATGTGATTCACATCAAATTGTTTAAGATAAAATGTTATTTGTCATAACCTTATTTAGCTACGTAAATCAAATCTGTTAAATATTGTACCAAAGAAAGTATGTTTTATCTATGACTGTACCTATTCGATCAGGGGTCGTTCTCAAATTGCGACTTAAATGTAAACCTAGGGCTTTCTCTGTACTTTTTGATCAGTTGTCATTAGGGGTGTGCGAAGCAGCAAAAAATTTTCGATTCGAAGCAACGATTCGATTCAAAAGATTTTCGATTCGATTCGATGCAACTCGATTCGAAGCAATACGGTATTTTCCTATTCATAATTGTCAATTGAGTGGATTAACAATAATTAAAATTTACCACATTTGTGTAATGCAAATTTTTGTTGATGTGGTATTAGGCCTATTCATACTTAACATATGAATTTTAGGTGAAAAAATATTTATTTTCAATCATAGGGATTAGAATAACCTGTGAGCTGGTTTACTTGCCTATTTCATAATTTTTACTTGGAATTGGCTCAATTGCAAGAAAGAAGAAAATATTTTTTTTATCAAGACATTAATTCTCATTTTAATAACTGTTTAAATAACTAAATAGGTACCGTCAGCTAAATTACAACAAATTTGAATGGAACTTAATATAAAAAGACCATTAAGAAATAAATATAGCCTACATATCACAAGTTTAGGGCCTGTGGGCCTGCTTCAGGACTGCAAGCAAGAAGAAAATAAAAATAATATGTTTCCACCATGCAATATGTATCATTCATTCCCTGCCTCCTAACCTCCTTAGTATAATAATCTCACACTTACATTATTTGTTACATCATCATAAATAAAGAATTATCTATTATTGGCATCAGTTAGTCGGCCTCCTACAGCTTTACATAGGCATTATTTTTTATAGGACCTAAAAAAGTCCTAAAAGTGTACTAAGCAACATGACAAGTGGAGAACTCATTGAAGAAAAGATATTGTGTAAACTAATTTAGGCCCTACTATAAAACTAAAAAACAGTAAATAACACACAAACATTGTTTATGGTATAATTATTAAGGACTTTAAAAAATGCATATCATGTCATACAGTAGTATAATTAATCCTAAAACAATTTCAAATTAAAATTAAAAACAGTATTAATCAATCAGTAAATGTTAATGTATATATTTTTTCATTGTTCTATTTATTTTTCTACTCAGTATTTATATATTTATATAATTTATAATTGTTAATATTTTTTAAATATATATACATTGTTGTTATAGTTATTGATAATTTTGTTTTTATGTTAGTATTAAATGCATGGCATGAAAGTGTAAATAAAAGTGAAGTGAAAAGACAAGAAGAAACCCACTGAAGCAATAATATTATAAGTGCTTGAACTGCTTCAATGTAAATGGTCTTTAAACTGTATTGAAGCATGTAAATAAAATAAAATAAAATAAAATAAAAAAAATATAGACCTACTGCAAGAGATTAAAATCCTAAAACAACTGATTTTGATAGCTAATGAATGAAAAGAATTAAAAATCCATAAAATAAAGCCAAACAAAATCACAATTAATTAGGTACCCGAAAAGTAACTCTTAGATAATATATAGTAGATTAAAATAATATTAAATCAAGAGATAAGAAAGATAAATGTTAACTTCTAATGCCCTTGGCAACACAGGTCAATGTTTTTAAACTACCCTCAATGTTTTTGGAACAGCAGGGTCTTTTTCTCTGAAGGAAGGGTAGTACTGTAGTATGTCAACAAAAACAATGAATCACTCTCCCCAGCCAGGCCCAGGCAACGATGTGTGCATTCAAGGTCATAGACCCTACCCCTCCCCTCTTACACCACCCGGTTGCTACCCAGTTGCTTCAATTAATTGCTGACAAAATGCAAGTGATGAAACAAGGAAGTAGAGACAAAAAAATATATTTCTTTATTCAAAAACAAAACTGTTACAGATTATTTTCAAAGAAATTAATTCATTGTAATTTGTGAGTTGTAAATATTGTATTGGATCTTAGAAATATATTTTTTTAACCCCATCTAACCAAGATACAGATCTGTTCACTATATCAGATATTTATTTTGTTTATAATTTATTATGTAAAATACTAAAATATATTTTAAATTAGGTATGGAATAAATAATAAATGATTAAACTAGTATGTCTGGATAAATAGTCTATTCTTTTGACTTTGTTTTCTTTGCACTGTTGTGTTGCATCACGACTTTTGTCTTGTCAATCTTGTCAGTAGACGACTAGACTAGCTCTGGCTAGTGGCAGTGCGGCAATTGCTCTGTTGTGTCTTTATTCTTAAAGGTCGTGAGCCAACTTACTAATCTTTAATTCTCATTTGAACATTTTAATTCCTCTGTAATAATAGATATAATAATATAAGAGTGTTTCTTTGGAAATAAATTATTCTTTTTTTTCTCTTGCCCGGGACCGGCAGACCCCTAACAAAAATACCAAATGTATCAGTCTATAACATTAATCTTACTAGTGTAACAATTTTTCAGACTTATTTTTAAAATGATTTTGGAGTGACCTATCTTGTTTTGGCTAAGTTTACAGTAGTAAAATATTTTTCACACTGCTTACATCAAGACAAAAAACTAAACCTCTCATCATTTGCAATGTCAAAACAAAAAAATATAAAACAATTAAAGCTATATTTAATGCAAAGAATGTATTAAATAAGAACGCCTTCGTAAAGGAAACGCAACAGCAACGCGCTCCTGTATTGCGGGTATTGCGTTGGCTTTCTGCAGGCGTTTTTCGTATATGGATACTGACTCCCTCATGAATCGAATCGTTTTTTGACCACCACTGAATCGAATCGCGATTTGATGCATCGAATCGAATCGAAATTTCGATGCATTTTCGATGCATCGCACACCCCTAGTTGTCATCATCATTGAATTTTTTCTATTTGTCCTGTGTTCAGGTCATGGCTTGATTTTAACATATTATATGCTATGATTCTTTGTTTTGTTTACATTTACGTCATTATCTTGTAACCATAATGGCAACCCATAAAGCCAATGTTAAAATTTAAAAAAAACTTTGAGTTACTTTAAAATTATATAGGCATTATCAAAATTTGAAATTGGTTACATCTAAACCATCCAAACATTTGACAAAACAACCTTGGTAAGTTTGGCAAAAATATGTTGAGCCGTTATTGAGATTAAGTGTTATAAAGATTGCATTGAAGTTGGTCCCATAGAGCTTCGCTTCGCTCCGCTCAACAATAAGACTTGTGTTTTTACTTTCCTGTATATTAAACTCCATTTACTTCCTATAGTTTGACATTTCGATAGTTTGACATTCCTTAAGTCCACAAAGTGTCAAACTATCGCGATTCTAATGTGCTATATTAATAATTTTATTAATAAACTATATTTGTTCCAGATATGGAGCGAAAGGGGCACCACCGAAAATTCCACCTAACAGTACTCTCATTTTTGAGGTGGAGCTGAAGAACGTACATTAGGGCGCTACTTACTTTCCTGTATTAGGTTTTAAGTTTTGACAGAAGATGTACAAGGACTGCAGTCTGTGTAACTACCATCTGGTCTATCTGTTAAATTTCTCTTAGAATAATTCTGTGATAAGTGACTTGGTAAGTTTTTTCATATTTTCAGTAATGTTGTGTTCAAGTTTGTGTAGTTATAATCCACGGGAAAGTCTTTTTACCAGCAGTATTTTTGTACCGAGTAAGAGTAAAACATTGTCACTTAGCTGCTATACTTTTGTTTTAAGTCCCATTATCAATGATCAACTGATCCCCAAGCTGCATTTGCAACTGACTGTATAAAGAAATTGAATAAATTGTTTTTACAAAACATGTTAAATTTCTATTATTCCTATCCGATTTATTTATTGTTAATAGATAATATTATCTAGTAACTAAGACTTTATAAACTATTTTAAGACATATAAAAAAATTATCAAATATAGCTAAAGCCACTTGGGCTGTACTAAACAAGGATGGGTGTACATAAAAAGGACAATGAAATTCCATATCAAATTGATAATACATCCCAACAGAATAGTTACAAAATAAAAAAAGAAAAAAGGAATTCGCTAATATATTTAATGAGAATTTTCTGAATGTAAAAAAATAAGGTTCAATCTTATCCAGATGGAAAAAAGGCAATGAGTTTCATGGTCAATGAGCAAAATAATATGTATAGTTTCTTTTGCTATGAGAGCAGTTTCAAAAATGTATTGGGCAAACACAGTTAATATTTTACAATTTTTGAAATGAATTTTAACACGTTCATCATTTTTAAGTCCCATCATTGTTCTTAATGTCCTTTGCTGTAATTTTAAGATTCGATTAAGATTTTTCTTAGTTTTAGCTCAATATAAAGATATACCGTATGAAATGTGGCTATGGACAAGAGAATGATATATTGTTTTCAAAGTATTGATATTACATAGATATGACATCTTTTTCAAAGTAAATATCCCTGAATTTATCTTTGAGCAGACATGATCGACGTGGTCCTGCCAGGATAGATGTTTATCAACTTTTAAACCTAAAAAATCTATTTTTTCAACTTGTTTAATTTCATTGGAATCCAAAATAATCAACGGTTCTATTTAGTTTTTACATTGCTTAGTTGAAAATGATATAAAATTAGTTTTACTTTTGTTTATTTTGAGATTGTTGGATAGTAAGTAATTTTTAATATTTGCAAGTTCAATAAAGGTATCTATTTCGATGTGTTCTACTGTTTTTCCTGTAATTTTTAAGTTAATGTCATCAGCATATAAACACATATTTCCACAAGGTACACACGACAGTACATTTGGAATCTTATCAATGTAGCAAAGGAATAAAACAGGGCCTAGTATTGAACCCTGAGGGACACCAAAGTGATTAAGTTTTATTTCTGATCTGTTTTTTACCAGCCAATTATTTTTATTAGACATGATTTCAACGTATTGCTTTCCATCCGATAAATATGATTTGAACCACGCCAAAATGTGACCTCTTACCCCCATATCTTCTAGTTTGAGTATTAGAGTTTGGTGACATACCCTATCAAAAGCCTTCGTAAGGTCCATTGATATTCCTTATTATTATTATTATTATTATTATTATGTCACATGGACATAACATTTTCGTGGCATGTTGGTTGAATTAAATGATTACAACAAATAACAAGGAAAAAGTAAACAAACAAAAGACTTGTAAGTTGTAACATGTGTTCATAATTAATAAGCCATCTACCCACAGTATAATAGCAAATTACAAAATAGAGTACAAAAATAAAAACATCAATTAATTGTTACTATTGAGCAAAGATTATACTCAATTATTTATATTATATATACAGGGTGAGTCTTCTAAGCTGTCCTAAACAGATTACAGACGAACGGCTTGACATACAGAGATAAAACAAAACTTTTCCCTACTAATTCATACCCAAGGAGCAACGTAAAAATGTTTTTACCATTTTTTAAATACAGGGTGTTCGAGAAACTGGGGGTCATGGGTTCGAATCTCAGAGTTTTCAAATGTAAACATATGTCATGTCGTGAATCATTTTAAAGCTCTAGACTAGAGAAACAATTTGGTAGAAACAGAACTCATTTATCTTTGTCCGTTTCAAAATGGCGGCCATTTTATGGAAAATATTGATATTTACAGAATATCCTGTATCTTGGAAACCACTAAAAACCTATTTTCATTCTGTTTGAAAATTCTTAATCCTCGTGAGTTTAGCTTTAATTCTATATAGGATATGTCAACAATTTACAAACTCAATATTTTTTCAATGATTTGATTTTTTTATGTTGGTAGCCTTGTAAATGAAAAAAATTAAACGGTAACATATGTCAAATTGCGTATCATTTTAAAGGTCTTGCAAAAACAAACAACATTTAAATTTAAACCCACCGTCTATCTTTGGTAGTTTTCTAGTAATGAACCAAAAACTCCAATTGCCCATATAAAACCTATGTTAAACGTGCGGTACCATGGGAATAGTGTATCTGCATCTACTAATCTCCAGTCACACAACCGAATGCCCTGGACAGAGCACAGAACACTGCTGCAGTACTCTGAGATCCATCCAAGCCCTCCGACACTTGATTTATGAAATCAGAGACAGCTGAAATTGTGTTTTTTTTTTCTAATCTAAAGCCAAATTGATTATCTGTAAACAGATTATTATTTTCAAAAAAAAAGAGTACATTTGTTCATATGTAACAACAAACAACTAACAAGACTACAAGATCGCGCCACTCATCCTTCACTCATATTTGGGTTAAAATACGCACATAGTGGCGTCCCCATCTTAAATAATTGATATAATTGAATTGATATATGCTATTTTTTCAAAAATTTTTGATAGAGCTGGTAAAATTGACACCGGACGATAGTTTTCTGGGGTTTCTACTGAACCTTTTTTGAAAAGTGGTTTCAGTTCAGCATTTTTTAATTGGTATAGAAAAATTCCTTCATCAAAACATTGGTTTAAAATCAGACAAAGTGGCTCTGCTATAAAGCTCATAATACTTTTTATTATTTCAACTAAAATCCCATCCCATCCTACAGATTTTTTATATTTAAGCGAATTTCCCTATAGGGAAGTAGCTATTACCGTAGGTCTCATGGTAAGACCGATTTACTTTTTCATTTTGATGTCCCCAGAGGCCAAAAACACCATTCGTTCAAATTTTTATACGGGTGTCCCGGAACTCTCTACCAATATTTAAGGGCATTGCTCCTGGGTAAGAAACATACCTAAATATCATATTTAAATTGTCCGGAAGTCCTTAGTTACTCACACAGCCGCCATTTTGTTTTTTTCAGTTATTAATTTGTTTCTAAAGAATGGTTAAACATACGAAATGGAAACTTTGCACAAACATTTATGACAACTAGACAAAGCTACCAAAAAATTTTGAAGATTTTTCAAATTCATAAAACAAAATGGCGGACCTTTAACATTTTTGTAAAATCAATGGTTTTCGAATTATTAAAGAAACAAAATTTTAAACGGCCGCCATTTTGTTTTATGAATTTGAAAAATCCTCAAAATCTTTTGGTAGCTTTGTCTAGTTGTCATAAATGTTTGTGCAAAGTTTCCATTTCGTATGTTTAACCATTCTTTAGAAAAAAATTAATAACTGAAAAAAACAAAATGGCGGCTGTGTGAGTAACTAAGGACTTCCGGACAGTTTAAATATGATATTTAGGTATGTTTCTTACCCGGGAGCAATGTCCTAAAATATTGGTAGAGAGTTCCGGGACACCCTGTATATCTATATATATATATATATTGTATTTTATATTGTTCACGTTTAGGGCTACTGTAATTAATATTAATAAATAATACACCATAGTACCCTTTTTTTGTAAATTATTTTTAATGACTGATGCATTTCGACACTAAGGTCATGGTCACAGTCTTTTACAATGTTATTAAATCTAATATGTAAACAAAGAAAAAGAAAATAAATACACTCACATGTTTAAATTTTAACTAAATCTATCTTGACTTGGGAAATTATATAATTAAGAATATTGTTATACCAATGGTTTTACTTATTCATGTTGTCTTAATTCTTGGATTTTATCATAAATTGGGTTTAAATTTTGTGTTTGCATTACGTTAAGGATGTTGCTTTCATTTTTTCTTGTTGCTAGATATATGTGTAATTCTTCTTTTACATTCATTCTTTCTCCTTTTTGTTCATATTCTAAAATTTTGACACTATCTTCAATTTTTCCATAACTATGGTTATGTGATAAAATATGTTCCGCGTACATTGATTTTTGAGTTGTCATGTTGTTGGATTTTACTGATTGAATGTGTTCTTTGAATCGGCAAGAAATTGATCGCCCTGTTTGTCCGATATAAAATTTAGAACAATCTTTGCAATTGATTTGGTATATTCCTGGTTTTTCATATTTATTGATTGATTATCTAATTTAATAAACAAGAAAATCTACAAAATCAAAAAACAAAAACTCAAGAATGAAGAAGAAAAACAGAAAAAAGACTTTATATGTCTCCCATACAGTACCTCGATCGATAAACCATTAAGAAAAACATTTGACAAGTCAAAATTCAAAATTAGTTATAGAACAAGAAATAACTCCTTCAGATTAATACAACAAATGTCCAACAATAATCGGCTACCAATCAATAAATATGAAAAACCAGGAATATACCAAATCAATTGCAAAGATTGTTCTAAATTTTATATCGGACAAACAGGGCGATCAATTTCTTGCCGATTCAAAGAACACATTCAATCAGTAAAATCCAACAACATGACAACTCAAAAATCAATGTACGCGGAACACATTTTATCACATAACCATAGTTATGGAAAAATTGAAGATAGTGTCAAAATTTTAGAATATGAACAAAAAGGAGAAAGAATGAATGTAAAAGAAGAATTACACATATATCTAGCAACAAGAAAAAATGAAAGCAACATCCTTAACGTAATGCAAACACAAAATTTAAACCCAATTTATGATAAAATCCAAGAATTAAGACAACATGAATAAGTAAAACCATTGGTATAACAATATTCTTAATTATATAATTTCCCAAGTCAAGATAGATTTAGTTAAAATTTAAACATGTGAGTGTATTTATTTTCTTTTTCTTTGTTTACATATTAGATTTAATAACATTGTAAAAGACTGTGACCATGACCTTAGTGTCGAAATGCATCAGTCATTAAAAATAATTTACAAAAAAAGGGTACTATGGTGTATTATTTATTAATATATATATATATATACTAGTGGCCTATAGGGGCCATAGCCCCTAATTTAGACTACAATAAAAAATCATACATAAAAATACAAAT